TTCTGTCCAATTGAAGACAGAGAAAAAGTTCTTGACCCTAAAGCATCATATCTTAGTGCAATTGAAGTACTAACTTATCTTACAAACTGCACTCGACCCGAAATAGCTCTTTTTATAAATCTCCTTGCAATACATAGTTTTAGACCAACTAAAAAACATTGAAATTGTGTTAAACACATTTTTTGTTATCTGAAAAGATATTATTGATTTGAGATTATTTTATTCTCAAAAGTCAAATCTGCTTTAGTGATATATACAAATGCAGGTTTTCTTTGATCTACATAAAGTTAAAATCATAAACAAGATATGTGTTTACACGTGGAGAAACAATTATATCATGGAGATTTGTAAAGGAATCCTGGACAGCAACATATTCAAATCATACTAAATTATTGCAATTTTCAAGAAGTAGGTAGATAATGTATATGGTAGAGAAACATAACCTGTCATATCCAAGAATCATGTGAATTAATTTCAGCAAAAGTTAGTGCAACAATTTTGTGTGAAGATAATGCAACACGTATTGCACAATTCAAAGAAAGTTATGTCAAAGGTGATACGACAGAACATATTTCTCCATAATTTTTTCATGCACATGAGTTTTAGAAAAATGACGACATTCATGTTCAATAAATTTACTCAAGTGACAATGTGGCAGATTTATTTACAAAGGTACTGTTGACATCTATATTCAAAAAATTGGTTCACGAGATTGAAATGTTTCGATTCAAAAATTTTTAGTGATTAATATCAGGAGGAGTAGCTGTATTAGTTTTCCTTCGCTTAGGTTTTATCCCACTGTGTTCTCCTAGCCAATGTTATTGAAATCGGATCGGACCGATCGGTTCAACCGGAAAAATTGGGAACCGACCTCAAATCCAGTCCAATCAAGTTACCATACATCAACCGTAAAAGTAAAAATTGATCAACAGACCTATGAACCGACTGGTTGACCGCAAAATCGAAAAAATCGGTCACAATTTTTTACTGGTTCTTTGCACCTTCCCTTTTTTATTTTAAGGATTGATCCCACTTTTGTCTAATGGGGCTCACTTGCAATGGCAGCAGGCCCATTTTCTTTGATTTTCACATCTTGCTAGTTTTAAAAGATACTTCTCTTGCACAGTTTTTCTTTTGAACCCATATGGAATACTAATTAAGACTTAGGTTGATTTTAAAAGATGATCTTCATGCACATTTTCTATGGGGAACTGATGTGGGATAAATTTAGTCTAGTTTCAACAGATTACATCATCCACATTTTCTATGATCAACTGTGAGATAATTATAAAAGTTATAGGGTTGGCCAATTGAATTCTTACATGTTTACTTCATTCTATATTATATGGAGTTAAATCATGGTCCCCAAATCGCAAACAATTTCAATTGAGCAAAGCAAAATATTTTGGACATATAAATAATTAGTTTTTGAAGTTTTAAAATAAATTATAAGATAATAAATCTAATTGACACACGTGGATTTATATTTAGTTTGAATTAGTAGTACTGATTTTTTTTAACAAAATTGTTATAATATTTTTATTATTTAGGCGTATTTATTTACTTACTTTTGGCATCCGGTTCGACCCCGATTCAACATCGGTTCCACCCTCTGACCCTTGACTCTTTTTAATTTTCGGATCGATACCTGGTCCGATTTTCAAAACATTGTTCCGAGCTATGTTTTAATGAAACAACATTTATTTTTAATACTCTAAAATAATTGTATTCTTTTTCTTTCGTTTGATCTTTTATCTTATTGGGTTTCTATCAAATAATGTTTTGATGAGATAGAGATTTTTAATGTGTCTTTTTAAAAGGGAGTGTTGTAAATGATAAATTTATTAGTGAACGATAATTGTACCTTGCAGCCTTAGAAATTATTATTATTCCTAATAATTCCATATAAATATAAGGTTTTGGTCCTCATTATAATACACACAAGTCTATAAAAAAAAATTCCCTCTTTTTTTTTTTTTTTGTTCTTTTCATAACAAATAGAACAATATTAATTGAAATTGAGTTATTTTCCTTAAAGATATGGTCGAATCTTATGTCGATTTTCATGTAGGTAATGTCACACATTTGAATAGTATAATATGACTCAAAGTTGTTTCAATCAAGCAAAATAAAAATATTTCAAATCCTCAAGTTAATTGTTCCATTGATCACTGAACTTATGTCTATGTCTTAATTGTTCACTAAAATTTAAGATATCAAGTTTTTGCCACTAAATTTTGAAAAACGCTGAACATTACTCACCGATATAACATCTGTTTAAAACCTTTAACAACGTTGGTGATGTAGCTAACGTAATGCACATATGAAGCTTCGTCATGTTGTTAAACTTTGAGATTGTCAAGTTTTGGTCGCTAAAATTTTCCAATGCTTTCAATTGCTTACTAAACGTTGAAAAACGTCTTTTATTGCTCACTAAACTTTAAGATGGTAGAAATTTGGCTACGAAACTTTGAAAAATGTCTTCGATTGCTCAATAAACTTTAAAAACGTCTTCAATTGCTTACTAAACATTGAGGAGTTTGAATTTTAGCCACTAAACTTTGAAATTGTTGAATTTTGGTCATTAAACTTTGAACGACGTCTTCTATTCCTCACAATAATTTTGGATTTAATTATAGTTTGTTATCCAAATTTTGAATTTAAGTTAATTCTAACTATTGTGTGTTTCATTGTAAAATTCAATTATTAAAGTCTAGATTCGATTTAATTTTAATTACAAATTAATTGTATAATTCATTGCAATTAGTAGTTACTTTCCTTGCACAATTTTACAGGTGCTGTCTATCATAATATTTAAAGTTTACAAAGAAACACAAGATAAGCCATTGTTTTGTCAGAGTTAAAATAAGATTTTTAGCAAATTTTGATAAAACTTGATAAAATGTGTGGTTGAAAAGTTGTGAGTACCATGAAATGTGTGGCTAAAATTAATTGTTAACTTCGAGTTTGATAAAAAAAATTTAAATTTAATTTCCACCAAACATGGATTAAATTGTTGTTAGAATTAGATTAAATTCAAAATTTAATCTAAATTTCAACAACTAATTTTAATTAAATCCAATATTTTTACGAGCAATAGAGGACATTTTTCAAAGTGTAGCGGTCAAAATTTGAAACCATCTCAAAGTTTAGTGGCTAAAATTCGATCATCTAAAAGTTTAGTGAGCAATGTCAGACGTTTTTCAAAGTTTTACGGAGCAACCAAACACGTTTTTCAAAGTATAGTTGTCAAAATTTGATCATCTTAAAGTTTAGTGACCAAAATTCCATTAACTTAAAGTTTAGTGAGAAATAAAATTCGTTTTTCAAAGTTTAATGAGCAATTGAAGACGTTTTCCAAAGTTTAGTGACCAAAATTCAACCATGTTAAAGTTTAACTGCGTGATGAGGCGCTACACAACATTCCGTTAGCCACGTCACCAATTCCTTTAGAGCTTTTAAATAGATGTTATACCGGTGAGTAACGTTTAACGTTTTTCAAAATTTAGTGGCTGAATCTTGAGATCTTAAATATTAGCGAGCAATTGAAAACATAGACAAAAGTTCAATGACCATTGGAACAAATAACTCCAAATCCTCGTTGACACCAGAGTCTACAAAGTTGAACATACAATAAACAATTTCTTTTTTAATTTTTAACATTGAAAGTCAGGAATTTGGGGCCTAGAACTTTTTCTTTGACACTTCTACCACTTTTTAAAGGCCCCAAGTAAAGAACCCCAAGTGGTAGGGGGAACGATTCGAATCCAATTGGGTAGTAATAAATTGCTTCATTTGACCCTAATTTATGCCTTCGATTTCAAAGTAATCCTTGCATAATTTTTTGACAGAGAGATCCTCAACTTATGGATTTAGGACCGTGTCGATCCTCACATGGTGCAATATATCCATATTGACTGCTAAATACCACTTGCAACTCAATCAATTAAGCCCCTGTTTGGAGCAGCTTTTCCATAAAAAAGAAAAGCAATTTTTTGACTTTTTTTTGGTCACCTAAGACCCACATGTGAGCGTGTTGGTAAAAAAAAAAATGGTTGCAAATTGGTGCAAACGGTCCAAGAGTTGATTTCCCCCCCCTAAAAATTTCCCCAATACCAGGGCTAAATAGTTGAATTTCAATAAAACTTGTAATTTTTATTTATGGATTTATTTATTTATTATTATTATTTTTTAAGAGTGAATTCACATTTTCAATTAGACAATGTTTGATAGCCCAATTTTTTTACATGGAAAATGAAAAACGTATTCCATTTCCCACTTTTGATTTGTTTGATATTCAAAATTTTTCTATCAATTTATTTTCCACCTTTGCCTCACACGAGCACTAATTCTTGGTTTTTGGGGAATTCATTTTCCCATGGGGTAGGAGGTTTTACGTCTTCCACTCTTTTTTTTTTTTTCCATGGGAACAAATTTTAGGAGTTTTAAAAGAAAATATCCCTTAAATCGATAAATTTTATATAAAACAAAGGCAAACGAATACCAAAATATAAATAATTTTTGGATTTTTTTGCCCATGGAAAAATATTCTAGAAACAATTGTAGAAGTAAATATCTCTTAAATTAATTCCCTTCAATTCGTTTTCTTTCCATCCAAATTTCATGTTTACAATCAAATGGACACTTAGTTTTTTATCACCTTACTCCCTCAACCTTTCAAACCTACGGGGACCATTCTTGCACAGATTTAAAAGGTTAAAGACCTATAAGACACGAATTGTTAGTCAAAAAGTTGACTGTCACACTTCAAAAAAGTTGGAGACTTGAGAGTCGGAATTTACTTGATTATATTTATAAATGCTGAATCTGAAAGGGTAATTTTGGTAAATCATCATAATCTTCTAGTCCAGCACACCGTGCTTATGGCAACATTTAAATACAATTGAGACTCTATTTCAGATCCGCAGAATCTGCTTTAAATTAAAAAATGAAACCATCAAAGCGCTTTCGAATTGCGAAATCTGAACCTATAATGGCCGTTGATCTTTCTCTATCTATAAATTACAGTCTCGTACAAATAAGCCTATATATACACATATTTAGAGAGAGAAAAAAATCTCATTCTAACGCATACACTCTCAACAATAAATCCATGTGACGAATCTGCACCGTTTCCTTGGTCTTCACTCAAATGATCAGGTATTTGATCTTCTACTTGATTTCATTTTCCAATTTTTTAATTGTATAATGAGCATATCGTTCTATTTTGTTTTGAATGTATTTGTTCTTAATGTTTCAGTTTTCAATTTTTTGTTTTTGATGTAATTTGGATAGATCTGAAGAAACTGAAGAGTGAGAGGGTGGTGCTGTGTATGCATTCAATATTCATATTTATGTTCGATGTATGGGTTGTGTTTACTGAAATCACCGTCGATTTGCTGAGATTTTGGTGGTAATGGAGAAGATCTAAACTTTAAAGACCTTATTTTTAGTGTTAGATTTTGAGATATTTCTAAAATTATTAGTGGAAATTAAGATCTGTGAATCTGTGAGAAGCTAATGACCCTGATAGATCTAGGTAGTTTGAAGGAGATGGAGACTTTAGTTGCTGTTGCTCATCACAGGAATCATCATCAATATTATGATAGAAATCGTGAGCATGGTTCGGCTAGATTTGGGTCCTTTGGGTCCCCGCCTACTGATAATTCTCGTGGTATCAATTGCCGTGCTTTCCAGTCCGGTGCAGGGTTACTTCCAAACCCGCCTAATTCTTGCACCACTGCCCCTTCTAGCAAAAGGGAGTTTTCCACTTCTTTTTCGCCCAAAACCCCTTCGACGTCTGTTAATGAAGACCACAAAAGCTTGAAAAAGAAATCGGAAAATAGTATGATTCCAATCGCAATTAAGATCAACTTCGATAACAAAGAGGGGGGTTATGATAATGATTTTCATTTCTCTGAACATTGGGCTGGACCTGCTTATTCTTGCTCACCTCCCCCGAGTTCTTTGCCCATGCCAAACTTTTCACTCCGGCCAAAAAGGGCAGTTTCACTTGACTTGCATACTGCAGCCCCTGAATTTGATTTGCCCCCTATGGCTAAATCTGCTCCTGCTTCCCCAACCAGGGAGCGTTGTCCCTCACCTAGTGATATGTTTGATGGTGCTGACTGTGCGACTAAGAACCTTCGTCGCATCCTCAATCTTGATAATGCTGACGAATGATGTGCTGGGAGCAGTCAGCACTCCTGTAAATAAGAAAGCTGATTTAGTTTGCAAAGTGAGTTAGTAATATATGTATACATTTAATGAATAAAGTATGTTTGCAGCACAACTTGCTTGTAGTGATTTCATTAGGTTTTCAGAAATTGTGGTGGTGTTGATGCAAGAGCTATAATGGCTGGTTGGTTGACTATCTCCAGATATCAGAAAAGTTGACATGGTGGTTTGGTTGGGCACTGTAGAATGTCAATGGGTCGTTTGAACATGGATATTAACAAGGCCAAAGGTTTTGGGAGCAGAAATCGTAATTGATAACCGGCAATCCATTGAAATGGTGATGGATAGTTGGAATTTAGTGCTTTTGGACATGATCACCAAATTGAATATCAATGATCTGTTCTGCTCAGAGGAGGCTGCATTCTATTTGAACACTATGTATTGATTCCCAGTTCTCCAGTATATATCTTCCTCATTGAATTGTTCATTCTGTTAGTTTTTCCCCCTCATTTTGGTTTCATTTAGATTTTTTGTTATGTGCAAGTTGTATGTACATCAGGATCCTAATCTGTTAGATTGGATAGGAATTTGTTTCATCTCCCTGTTAACCAGCTCTCCCAGCCCTGATATTTGACCTATCCTCTTCTATGATTTCCCATAATCTCTTCCGTTCAAGTGCCGGCTTACTGGGCTTATAATTAGCTGATTTCATTCAATCTTCTTACCTCCTTTTTCACTTCTCTTCTTTTTCTCTAAATTTTCAAATAGGGTCTGACTTATGTGTCTTTGCTTTGCAAAGATGTGGCTTTCCCTTTCACCATCTTTCTGATTTTTCAAAGAAAAATGGGAAGGAAAGTAGAGATAAATGATTTTCACTTCTACTTTTTAGTACTTGGGCTTGAGCAACATCGATTTTCACTTCTGCTCTTTTGTACTTAGGCTTGATCCATGTCAAGCTCTCTTCTTGTAAGTCCACCTTGTCCTCTGTTCACCATTTTCCTGAGTGGGTTACTCCACTTCTCTTTCTAAAGCTTAGGCTTGATCCATGTCGAGCTCTCTTCTTGTAAGTCCGCCTTGTCCTCTGTTGTCCACCATTTTCCTGAGTGGGTTGCACCACTTTTCTTTCTAAAGCCGTTGGTCTTTGGAGATTGTTGACCACACACCAAGCTTTTCACAGGTAATATTCCCTGGTCTTCACTGTCATAAATGATGATGTTAATTGTATCATGGATTTCTTCACTAAACATTTTTGTTTTACATGTTTACCAGTTCTGTTAGAGAGCTGATTGGAGAAGAATCTGCAGGAGTTGTCTGCAAAGCTTGTCGTATTATTGTTGCATCGTACTTTTTGTTCTGTTTGTTGTTGCAAAAACATTGTGCATTTTGTGTTCGTGAATCTTTTATGCTCTGTTTGCGGTGTTGTTTGAAACACTACTTTTCGAGTCATGGGCAAAGTTTCTAGTTGTGTTTTATATATTGTATCCCCAAAGTTTGTCACATTTTGATTCTCTGTTATGTTCCGTTTATAATTGTCTATGAAGTAATCTTGGCTGCTTGAGAGGCAACATCTAATCAAATAAACGAATCTATAAGTGAATGCTTGATATCCCGTGTTCTTGTGATTGATGGTTATAAGGTATGCGACACCATCATACCTAAGGTTCAAGATTATGATTGGCTAAAGAACGAAGAGTTTCACCGTAATTCTTGGTTATGCTAGTGTGACAAAGAAAGGCATTGGAATTTTTGTACCTTGGTGCTGTATGCCTTACCGAAAAGATGAATAAAAATTCATGTAATCGATTTCAAATTTGCCAAGAAATGTAGATGGTTATTTTGCAGTTTAAGATGGTTATATTGTGATTATGATGAGTTGACTGCGCCTTTTTTTTTTTTTTTGCAGGGTCATTTTAGCCCCCTATTGGTCTTCCATTAAATTATAATTCATTTTTTTTCTTTCTTTTTATCAATTATATGTTCTCTTTTTTTATCAGTCATATATTTTTCAATAAAATAATTTTACACGTAAACTCAAAAACTTTTCATTATTTTTTAGTGCACATTAAAAGTATTTACCCTTTTGAATAACGTGGAATGATTACAGTTTTGTTACGTTGCCAGACTCTTTAACACCCTGAATGATTGAATGTTGTATGGTATTTTGTCTAAAAAATCGATCAACCCTATCATTCAATAAAATTTTTTGCCACGCTTAATTTGTCAACCAAGGTGTTAAATTCATTTGGTAAAACAGCAATATTTTAGTAGCTATTGCCTTGTATTTTCTTGCTCAAATTTATCAAAAGTCGTAAGATTTCATTGTACCGACCAAGGACAACGACACAGTAAATATAAAATCCACTTAAAAGACAAAATTGATAATGGTTCTGTCATTTTCAGAATATAATTTTACCAAATGTAGGTGGGCCATTGGCACCAACTACTTTGTTTAATTAATTTCTTCAAAAAGACGCATCTCTTGGATTATTCACTTGAAACAGTCCAGTTAATCAACTAATCTTAGAGATAATAATCTTCAGATGATCTCATCCACATAAAAACAACCTTGTGAAAGCAACACAAGCAAGAAGATATATAATGATGATATAGCAGTTCTCTAACTCGACTGATAAAATACAGAACATGAAGCAATAAGTGACTAGGTGCACGGTGAATTCGAAGTTCTTTCCGATTTGCCTAGCCATCAAGTAAAATGTATGATATTAATAATAGGCAATAAATTACTAAAATTTTTACATGTAGATGCCTTTCATTTATACATATATTCAAAGAGAGAGAATATTAAAAAAAAAAAACTTAAAGAAAACTTCAAAATCAGAGTAAAATTCGAGTCTTTTATGTTGAATTATTCCCACTTATCACATAAATCCATTTAAAGATGCGACGTTCATCTGAAGAAAGAAAGGGAAACATGGAGAATTTATAGCATAACAAGTCTTAAAAAGAATCATCCAACTCTGGATTCTTTATCCCTTCGGAAAGCATTTCTTGGCAGCGGCATTCTTGGCTGCAAAAGGCTTTTCCACCCCTGTAAAGTGCAAAAGAAGTCACTTAAATAATCGCTTTTGCACCAGAAAAAAAAAAAAAAAAAGAAAAAAATTTTAAAGTATTGAATCATTTTGAAGCAATAAAGAAATGAAAGATGAGGAACTTTGGCACAAAATTAAGAGATTATATAAAAACAATGAATTATTGATCCTGTTTAGTGATATCATTAATAATTAAAAAACTATTATTGTTCAACAGAACAATCACTGAATTATGAAAATAAAGAATTCCCATGAAATCATTGCACAAAGACAAAATTGTCTCAACTCAATAATTTCCTGAATTCTAGCCATTCAATGTATGTAAATAATTTCTATTGATTTTATAGTTCATATTGGACTTAAATATATTCTAAATCTGTTCAGCCACTTAATCTAAAATCTTAAACGTCCTCGTTTGGGGGATGGATTCAATAGCCTGACGTACATAATTTTCATGTGTAAGAGTAAACGAGTCTCTTGATCTAAAAGCTTGAATCATTAGACTCGAATCGAAGGGAGAAAAAACGTCACTAACCTGTACATGTAAACGTCTTTGCCATCATCTCCAAGACTGGTTTTGCAAGTATGACAACTGAGAAAATCCACAGATGGAGAAACTGAAAAATTGGCTTCAAATTCACAGTTATCAGACAAACTAGGATGATCCCCACAGCAGCTTTCAACAATGCAATTATCAAAAATGTGTGTTGTTTTTGGATTAGGTCCATGAGTGATCACACAAGTATAATCCTCAGAAAGCTCCATTTCCTTCAAAGAAAGCTGCCTAGTAAAACTCTGAGGAGAATCCTTAACTGGGATTCTAGAGAAAGGACTCATCAACTGAGAATCCCTAGTCTTAATTCCAAAATCAGCTGGAGATTTCGGTGATTCTTCGACTGGAGAAATCGAAGAGGAAACAAGGGTTGGAATTTGAACCTTAAGTTTTGATCCAAAAACAACCATTCTACTAATAGGCTTTGAAAAATCCCCATCATTTTTCTCATCATTCATTGAGTCAATCAGGGCAAGTCCAATGGCTTCTGAGTCTTGTTTATTACAAGAATTAGGAGATAGGATTGAGGATGTCGACAAATTTTTATCATAGCCAAAAGGGTTAGCAGAATTTGATGAGTTTTTTGTGTCAAGAATTGAGGTTGGACTCATTGCTACTGATTCTGCATCAGACAAATTCTTTGCTAAAAAAAATCTTGGTGATCCCAAGAAAGATGAAATTGAGGTTTTGGGATTTCTTGGGCTAGTCATTGCTCTAGATTTATTCCTCAGCATTAGTATCTCTAATCTCTATTTGGTTTACCAAAATTTCACTGCAAAAATAGAAAAAGAAATAAATATAAATCCAAAAAATTCAAGAAATAATGAACATGGGTTTAAAGACAAGAACTAACCTGAAACCATTTGAAATGTTAACCTTCTTGAGTAGCTGCTTAAGGCACTGAAAAAAGTATCAAAAGAATAAGTAAAAGTTGGCTTTTTTCCACTCAAAAGCCGGAATTTATGAACAATATAACAAAAGAAATCTTTAAAAATAAAAAACACTGTTAAATCTCATTAGCCTCCATGTTTTGAACCCCAACACTGACATAAAAAAGACCCAATCCTTTTTTATTTTTCAAATAATCAAAATCAAGCCCAGATATGCATTGATGATCAACAATATTAAATAGCCTTTGTGTGTGAGGGTGTGTAATTCAATCAAGAAAAAGCAAAATAGACAGAGCAACTTGCTAGAAAATAGAGAAGTGAGGAAAAGAGAGAAAAGACGGCCTGTTTTGGTTCCTTTTTAAAGAAGAAATAAGAGCTTTTGGTTAAGCTTAGAAAGTACTTATCAGTAATCCCACTTCTATTTTAAGTTTAGCCAAACATGCTCTTAGAAGCATTATTGTGAGAGGGAAAAAAACAAAGAAATCTACGCCAGCAAGATAAGGGCCCGACGAACTAATTAGAAACAAGATAACACAACCATATACCCCACCCCTCTCACCTTTGTTGATTATTATCTCTCTTCATTTGGATTTTAGTGTTTATTTTCTTTTTAAGAAAATAATTTAAGTATATATATATATATATATATATATATATATGCAAGTCATTGTCCAAATGCACGCAATTCCTATGTTGAAAGCCAAAATTTATGTTTAAATATGATAAAACAGTGTTAATTATGTGATTTTCGCCTCAAAATAATCTATGGATTAATATTAGTTTATTAACATATATCTATATGTCATTAAGATTTTAGTTTCTTGTCTTGTATGCTCAAGCAAGAATTTAATTTCATTATACAATTCAAGAAGTTCATTAAGAATTATTTCCATAGCTAATTTCTTGTCGAGAGAGAGAGAGTGGAAAAATATTGATTATGTAATCTTATAATAAGAAAATATCTTAATTTTCTTACCCCTCATCTATAGTCGGTGTCTAATTTTGAGGTAACTTGTACTGATCTTAACTTGCAATGCTTAGGTCACACACACTATATCAATATGATCCATGTAATGTTGAGACTTTAGCATATTGTCCATATAGAACTATGCGAGCTATAGTTTTTAAAAACTGAATATGTACAAAATGTTAGTAATGAAATAGTATTGAGCACGTTGAATTGCCCAAACTTAGAAAGTCCATAGGCTTTGACACCCTATTCCTACCTTCAAAGGAAATAACAATTACAGTTATGCTATGTGTACAATTTGGGTTGACAATCCCGATTGACAATTAGACACATGGGAGGGAGGGCCCACGCTTAATAAAAAAATCGTGGATCCCCCTCATGTGAATACATTGTCAATCGAGAAAGAAAAAAAGAGACAAAGAAAGAAAGAAAGAATTTACAGGCTCGTCCAATTTTGGGTCATTTTGTCCTCATCCCTATTTTGTCATTATTTGATGCTGCTACTGTCTCTCTCTGACACAGTAACACACATAGATCCATTAAACGCACAGTCTGACCAATTAAAACGACAATTTTACTGACTGATGAAGTTACTCTTATTACCTCGTCGTACGTGAATCACTGCTTCACACGTCACGGCTGCCATTAAAGTGACACGTATGATTATAAGAAAGTTAAAATTCTTTATTTATGAAATCGGATAGAAATTTAGTAAAAAAATAAAAATAAACAGTTGGTACTAAAAGTGTCACTTCTTTGCACATAGGCACATTATGATTAAAGAGGAATTGTGAATTGAAATAAAGGAAGTCAATCATGCAAACCTGTGACAAAAAAATTGAAATCAAGTAGATATAGAGGCTATCATGAATCACAAGATACATCAATTATGCATTTATCGCAAATTTATGTTACTTATACAAAGTATTATAGTCGCACTCATTCTTTTCTTTGCAACTTAGGACGTGGTGTGGTAACATTTTCATAAATCTAACAAGCAACAATATGAAGATTCTACGAATGGGTGGATCGCTCCTTAATGGGGTGAACAACTAATTTTGTAATTTTACTGAGCCCTTGTTTGAGCCCCACTTTTTTCATCAAAATTCATTCTTCAATAGTGAGTTGACTTCATTTCAATCACAGATTTTTCAATAAAATAATATTACACGTAAATTCAAAATTTTTTCTTATTTTTTAACAACATGTTTCTCATCATAACACTATTTGAAAATGCATTTTTTGAGGTAAATGGGGCTCAAACAACCCCTTATTGTGATGAGTCGACGAGCAACTAGCTGCTCACCTTTGACAAGACCCAGTTGATGAGGGACTCGTCCCACTTTTTGCTGCTACTGAGTTGAAGCGGATCAAAATGACCAATTAAGCAAGTCTTGTTTGGATGGGATTTCAAAAGCGAACTTATCAAGGACCCACATTTAGGCAAGGCGTGACCCTAGTCAAAAATTGATTTGACATAAAAAAAGAAAAAAAAATAAAAATCATCATCTTGCATCAGGCTTCAGTAATGGGCCTGGACCCACCTTCATTTTTTGGCCCATTTTCAATGAGAGCTTACTTTACTATTTATGTAATTTTTAGTGTACAAAGGGGAAAAATTGATATTAACATGTACAGTATAAATATTAACTATACCACAAGTTTGATGCGTGAACGTCTCAAATTTTGCAAAAAGAGATAAATATAGCTAGGGCAAAAAGTCAAAAGGTTCATGTATGAGGATACAATATATTTGTCTTATTTGGCAGGCTAAAGTCAAGATTGATTTAGTCATGTATGAGGATACAATATATTTGTCTTATTTGGCAGGCTAAAGTCAAGATTGATTTAGTCTACATATTCATAATACGTTATTTCAAGCAAAACAAAGTTTTAGGCGTTCCGTTATCTCTCATCTAAAGTATATCTAGCCCCGTTTAATCCTCATTAAATTCAATTACATTACATTTCATTTTTCTCTTTCCTATTTTCAACCACACAATCTTCCATAAAATAATATTATACGTAAATCGAAAAAATTTCCTTTCTTTTCAACCACTCATTTTTCTAAAAAATACTATTCTCCCATTTTCATTTTCAGGTAATTGGGGTCAAACGGGGGCTCAAGACTTGAAATTATTTGAGCCCAATTTAGCTATATTCAAGTTTGCACAACTTACTATTAAACTTTTTTTTAATATCGAAAAAAATTAAAAATTAGAAGATTGTAAATCAGTAAAATTGGAGGCGTTGGTTCTATATGCAACTTGGATGGAACAATGGCTCCATTGCATTATTTTCTCGATTACTTTGACTATTGAGACGACCATCTCGCACCCTCCACCCATGCATACATTTATATTTCCAAGAAGATGGTCTATCTTCATGACTCTTTAACGGTATCGTTACGGTCACATTTTTAGAATAAAAAGTCATAAAATTAATTTTAAATTCATTAAGAGAAACCCAATTTTACTCTTTCAACCTCTTAGGCATTGCTTGGTCACAAGAAAATTAAAGAAGGGTAACAAAAAATCTCATCTGCCGCCTTAAAAGCAGGGCTTGTGACTTCCAAATAAATAATAATCAAATTTTCAAAGAAGAGTAGGTGCCACAGTTAACCCTCACCTCAGCCTACCACTTACTTCCCCATCCTCTGTGGGGACTATGAGAATGAGAGCCACAATTGTTAGACAAATAAACAATGAGTCCTCAATAGAATTTTTGCCTTTAGGATAGCAAAACTCTCATTTTCGGTGCACAATGGTACTCGTCGGATGAAATTTGTAAACTTTTCGGTCAAATAGTTATGTGTTTTGAAAACGAAGATCTATTTAAGTGTCTACTCATTTCTTTTAATGATTCTTGACTAAAATTGTTGGATGAAAATTGTAATATTTTCAGTCAATAGTGACATATTTCGCACGTGATGATCTATTTAAAGGTTATTTTCATCAACTACCTCCATTTTCCTCAATTTGAAAAGGAGACAAAAAGGGACTCGAATGACTAAATAGATTCGTGTCTATTTCATTTCTTTTAATGATTCTTGACTAAAATAGTAAAATGGTGTGGATTGAACAACTCAACACGTTCAAAACATATGACTACTTTTCATCTACTGAGGATCATCAAGCACTAAAATGAGAGTTTAAGGGACCTAAAGGTAGAAAAACTTTGATTGAGGACAGGAACTACAAATTTTCCTAGTTTTTAAGAGTGGGGTCGGAATGGGGGAGGAGGGATGAGCCCACAATTTTCATCAAACAAGTCCATTCTGTCTTCAATCATGCATTATTGCCCTTTTTCAACATTGAATTGGATTGGCGATAAGCCCTGTTTAATGCCCCCCATAAAAAGAAATTTTTGAGAAAAATAAATTTTATAATAGTAATTTTTTGAAGAATATATGATTAAAATGTAGAAAAAAATTTGAATTTACATACAAAATATTTTATTGTGTGAATGTGTAGTTAAAAATTAATTTGTTATAAAAATTAAAAATAGTTATCCAATTTCTCAAAAGAAATATCTCCTCAATAGTCTCCATAATGCTACCATGCTTCCAAAGTTTGTTATAAAGTATGGATTTTGGCAATTCAAATTATCAAAATCAATCAATACAAATCAGCTTTCAATGTCCCACTTGATCGATATGAATGGATTATTACGCCCTTCTCAAAAGCGCGTTGTGTCTGAATTAATTAAAAAAAATAAAATTGAATAATATTTTGAATCCTTATCAAAGTTTTCCGATTATTTAGATTGATGATGTGTTAATATACTCTAAATCAATAGAACAATATTTCAAACATCTTGATATATTTTTAAAAGTAATCAAGCATAACAGATTAGTTGTTTTCAAAAAAAAAAAAAAAGGGTAAAAACTTTTCAAGCTAGAATAAAATTTGGAACAATTACTCATATCAACATGTCCGTAGAATTTGTAAACAAATTTCCTAATGAAATTAGAGACGGAAATCAATTACAAAGATATGTGTCAATTATATCGCAAACTTTGTCCCAAATGTCCGACAAAATTGAGAACCTCTTTATCAAAGATCGAAAAAGAGCCCTATAACTCAAACTAGTGCTGTTGAAGAGATTACAGGTTTAGCTCAAAATCTTTCTTGTCATCGTATTCTGAATCCTTAAATATTTTTCATAGTTGAAACCGATGCTTCAGAAATAGGTTATAGAAGCATCCTCAAACAGAAGTCAATAATAAGGAAAAATTAATCAAGTGTCTACCTTACAGCTCAAAGGAACTACTCCACTGTAAAAGAAAGTGTTATCTATAATTCAATGTATAACCAAAATTTCAAGATGATTTGATCAACAAGACTTTTTTTATACGTACTTTAGTGAAATTTGACCTCTTCAAATATC